ATTGAAATTTTGAACTGAACCCTTTATTTCATCCACCGGTGTAGATTGTTCTAGTTCCACATGCCATGCCTCTTCCAGATGTCTCAGTTATTTCCCTTTAACTCAAATCTCCATGTTTTATTTCACCATTGCTGTGGCCTGGTATTGAACTCACAACTAATTGGGTCTAGTCACTGGATCTAACCAATGTCTTGGGCCTTGTGCCCTTGAGGACATCTGTGAATGAATTTTAGGGATTTATAAACCTAATGTCTCAGCAACCATTTTTTACCATTGCAATTTTTTTCTGTTATTATTATGCATTTTTTACCAGAGCTTATATTGCAATTTTTTTCTGTTATTATTATGCATTTTTTACCAGAGCTTATATTGCAAATTTTTTCTGTTATTATTATGCATTTTTTACCAGAGCTTATATTGGAATTTTTTTCCGTTATTATTATGCATTTTTTATCAGAGCTTATATTGCAATTTTTTTCTGTTATTATTATGCATTTTTTACCAGAGCTTATATTGCAAATTTTTGTTGTTATTCAGTGGTAACACAAGGGGAAATAGAATAATCAGGCATAGCTGACCACATATGGAGGGAAAACGAAGATCACCATTCCCTGTGGGACAAGGTTGAAATAATAGACAGAGAGCATTACTGGAAAATATGAAAACTTAAGTAATCAGCACATATGCTAGGCCACAAAAATCTCCTGAGTCGACCAAGCATAGAAATGAATACAATATGGGCAGCAGTAATAAGGAGTGCTAGAGAAAATCAATGAAGATGAGGACAACAGTCCAAGTAATGAAAATAATGCAAGTAATCATAGTACCTCATCGCAGAGATATAGACAGATACTTAATAAATGCATCATGAAGCTACTTAAACACAGAGACTTAACATTAGTACTAACTGGGTAACTAAGAATCATATTTGTATAAGTACACTCAAGCATTTATCATATTTATGTAGCTTAATATATGCATCCTAAAGTTTCTTGCCAAACAAAGTTAAGCACAGAGATTCAAAGTCAGTACTAATTGGGTAACTAAGAATCACATTTGTACAACATATACTCAAACATTCAACATATTTATATAGCTTAATAAATGCATCATGAAGCTACTTGTCAAACCTAGTTAAGCACAGAGATTCAAGGTCAGTACTAACTGGGTAACTAAGAATCATATTTGTATAATTACACTAAAGCTTTCATTATATTTCTGTGTCTTAATAAATGCACCATAAAGGCATGCCATGACCATGGCTCTACATACCAAGAACAGCTATTCAGAGATAGCTTCTTGAAAGAGGCAAGGTAAACAAAACGAACACTGGTTAGCTTTGTACAGATCCCAGAGACGTACCCATCACAATGTACACCAAGTTCACAACATCCTAGGATTGATGAACAACAAATGTAAGTGTTATATCATGACACTTCATTTTTCCCTACAGAGCTTCATCAATGACAGTCCTCCATTGAGATGTTAGACATGGTGATTAAATTCTGGATTAAGGTTGATAGCTGTATGGTCGGCAAAGAATTTTTAAGATCATGTCATCCCCATCATGTGGCCTCCTGTCTCTCTTGGACTATTATATCCAAAAAGTGAACAATCAGTGGTCTCATACCACTAAGGATTCATTAAAGGACATCATCATTGACATAAGACCACCTGATTCATGCTGCATCAAGGATATCTTTGAAAATGCACCCAGCATATCTTTGAAACTGCCCCAAACATGTCTTTGAAAATGCATCTAGGATATCTTGGAAAATGCTTCCAGGATATCTTTGAAACTGCATCAAGTATATCTTTGAAACTGCACCAAGGATATCTTTGAAAATGCATCAAGGATATCTTTGAAAATGTATCCGCATATCTTTGAAAATGCATCAAGGATATCTTTGAAACTGAGGGCATAATATTTTTTGAAAATAATCCAATTTTCTTTTCATTTAATATTATTGTTTTTTTTTCTTTATATCATAATTTGTTCCCAATTACCTGGTGCACCATGTATATATACGTACATAAGTTGTGGCTGTGTATCTGAAATGTTCACTTGACAACCATAAGACACAGGTTCAAATATCACCATGCTAGATTTGTCAGGAAGGTAACATCACTGTTATTGGTCTGAGGAGGCAATCACAGTGTGCAGCACCTTGAAAATATACCACAGATTGATCCAAGCCATCTGAGTGAGATTGAATAGGCAGAACTGTTTGGAAACTGTAAATGATTGTGCTAGCTCAAAGTTTACAAGTCCCCATGACTGAGGATTTGAATGTACTGGCATTTTCAGGTTCTCTCAGCATAGTTGCGGTACAATCACAGGTGGATTATGTGGGTGCTGACAAATGTACCTGAGCAGGTGTCTTCAACAGGAATCATTGAGCTACCTTAGCAGATAGATGTGCTTGGAAATAGAGAGTAGCCAGCCATTATATGTAATGGAAAGTATTAAGAAAAGTATTTGCATGTAAATCTAGATTCAAGAGGTGTAGATTATGGAAAGGAAAAAGTTATGCATTTAACGATTTCTCTCAAAATAACATTTGTTGAATAAAAAAAACAGAATTACTTCCTAAGTGTAAATATAAGGTTAAGTACCTGCTATCCTACCTATCTTGCTGAGTGATCATGGATGTAACAGGCAACAGGAATGAAAAAAAACATATCCCAGGTATACAGTCTCAAATAAGGTGGCATCAAAGTTGATCTCAAGGATGAGAGTTTTTATTTATTATAATGTGTTTTCAATTATCTGGTGTTTCCTTTATTTACCATATATATCAGTGTACAAAGCAACCTTTTAACCTTAAAAAATCCTCCCCAAAATAGGGAGCTGTCATACTCCAGGTATAAAATGTGAACCTTAAATCCTGTGGTATATGCTAAGTTGTTAGCATGTTTGATTTGATGGTAGGCTAACCCTTGCATTAGTAACTATTGACACAAATATTTTCTACCGAAACAACATAATTCACATTATTATCATAATAAAATAATAAAATTCTAGTGTAGTGTAATAAAACTACTCTTACCTTATATTTGGTATGATTTCACAAAAATAAAACGTATATTCAGTCATTCAGACTACTGTTAATAGCCTACCAAAAACACAGCACCTACTTATGATTGTGGTAGTTAATTGACATTATCTACCCATCTTTTTTTTCATTAGAATATTGAGTGAAAAGAAAGTACATACTTACTGAATCAATTTAATAAATTCAACACAATACATTTTAAAATATGATTGGTTGGGGAGGTCGTCTTGGATGGCAAATATAACCCAAAACTTATATTTTAACATGAAAATTTTGGGGTCGTCTTGTACGCCAGCATATACAGTAATAATATTAACCCTTAGGAGACAACAGCACTGATCTATCAACTGAAAATTCGAATGATAAAGATGAATGGGCTGATTCATCGGCCTGATAGTACAAGCCATAAGATTAACCGACTAGTCTTCGTATCAGCCAATCAGATTGCTTCTCACATTTCTTGCACATCTGGGCTTTTTATATGATAGTTTGCGGTGTTCTGTGATTTTATGTCATTTCTTTTATCATACCAAGTTAGGATTTGTGAAAAGGGCTCCTCCTTCTTTACACTGAAACTCCAAATGACATATACATAAAAGTTGTTTGCACAATTATTTTTACAATCATCTTACTTGACAGCATGTGGCTGCTGAGGCTAATCTCATTTGAATATTTCTGTTTACAACATCTGGGGTGTCACCAAGAGGGAGCTAAACGTGTGACCCTACACTACCAAGGGCTCATTGAAGGCTGTCCTGGATGGTCATGACAGCCAATATGAATGAGACCCAACTTTTTTGGTGGACATGAGCTGTCCTTTTTTTGAATAAGTGTACAGGTTTATTTCCACTATTTACGTGTCAATGATTAGCCACATCTTTGTTGTTGTTATCATGATATTTTGGCTGTTGTGCCTTCCTCAGATGTATGTCAATCTGGGTAACCTACAGGTAATTCCAAACTGAACACTTTATTTAATCTATGGGAGTTGATTGTTCTCATGCCACTGCCGATGTCTAGGGGCATCTCATCTAAATCTTAATTTTAGTACTATCAGTTATTGTGTGTCTTATTTCCACTGAGTTCAAGTACATGCTGTTCGGTCCAGGGCTGAACTTAGAATTACTATGTACCCAAATTGATGAAGCAGTGTTTTAATCCACTAGGCTGTTGGCACGTAGGATCCAGACTGACATACACCTGAAGAAGGCTGAAGGGCACACTGGCCGAAACGTTGTGATAACAGAAACAAAGATGAGGAGAATATTATGTATATAAATAGTATAAATGATGATAATTCCTTGTCCCAAAAATTCAGAGAGAATATAAAGATCACTTTCTTTTAGTTACAATTAAATAAAGTATTCAGTTCAGAATAACCTGTAGCTTATCTGATATACACCTGATGAAGTCCAGGAGGCATAATGGCAGAGAGGTTGTGATAACAAACAAAGATGAGGGGAATAGTCTGCATGTAAATACTGTAAATAATGATAACTTCTCATTCCGAATTTCAGACAGAATATATTTTGATTTTTTTCTTGAGATTATAATTTGTTTGCAATTATCTGGTGCTCCCTTTACTTAATAACATTAAGAATATTCTGAGGTCAAAGATAGTCTTCGAATGTCTGTAGGAAATAAGTTTTGGAATAAAAAAAAATATGCAACAAAACAAAAACAGATTTCTTGAGGAAAAATAATCATGTAACTCAGCTTGTCATCATTAAATAGGGAAACACAAATCAGTGTACGAATTTGCTATTGGTTAGAAAGTGTGAAGAAAGAAAAGAAGTGAGATTGAATTTAAAGAACCGCAGAAGCACGTGTTGAGGTGTTTCAATGAAATCGATTGTTGCTGTCAAAATATTACTGCCTGATATTTCAGATCAATATTTATTTCTTTTTATTTTACATTTTGTTTTCCTTATCAGCTACACCTGAATGCCTTGTTTCAGGTTAGAACCAGCAGCAGATTTTGGAACATTCAATGATTGAAATCTCGACTTGGCCTCTATCTCAATATTTAGATCTCTTCCTGTTTTAATGTTTATCAAATGTCTTTTAGTTCCTATTTGTTTCTTAGAAATTTTGGTGCTGCCGAAGAGATTCTTTAACCGGTTCCACTCAGATGCATTCAACCTTCTCTGAATTTTTCTTCTTTTTGCCAAATTCTTTGTTTATCACATTTTTTTTTCCATCTTTTTTTGTGTTTCTTTTCAATTTCATGAGTTGTGGGTGGCCTAATGGTTTATAGCATGGATAATGGAAATGATGAATGAAATTCTAGCTGGGACAGTTTGCATACATTTTGTAGTAATACCCAAAGGAGAATCTGTAGGTAGTATAATTGATGCAAAAAGTGGAATCAGCAACATCAGTTCAAATCCCAGCTGAGTCTGTGGCATTCACTTTTGAGCAAATGCTCTTGAGAAAGTCATGAATTCAACTGTTCTCTTACCAGCTGTTGTTTACATAGCAGCATAGACTTGACTCGCTCGTCTTGGATGGCAAAGAGAAAGAAAAAACTGAATTCAAAACCTTCATGAAGGCAATGAGAAACTACTCCACGATGGTTTAAATAGCAGGGTAGACTTGGCTCTCTAGTCTTGGATGACAATCAATCTAAGAGAAAGATAAAACAGAATTCCAAACTATGGAGACAACAATCTTACCCAGCAATGCATTGCAATTCACAGATGCTAAAGAAAAGGAATCTATGATGAGACATAATTGCCTACATTCTGAAGGAACATGACATTTAATTAAGATAAAAATTGGCTAAGTGGGTGGCAGTCAATTTAAAAGAACGAAAACCATGAATTCCAAGCTGTATAAAAAGCAATGGAAAACCACTACATAATCTTTTCTAAAAGACAGGGCTATTCATATATAATAAAGAAATAGAATCTGTGGAGAGCCATGATTGACTACATCCAAAAGGAACATGGCATTTTAAAAAAAATACCCTGAGAAAAGTTTATTTGTCTCTTCAACTATGGGTAAAGAACAGAGATGTTGAAACCCTTCAGCTCTGTAAGATTGTTACTTTTGGGTATTGGACAAGAACAGCAGGTCTTGTAAAACAAATTCTCACAATTGTTGCCATGGTTTCGGTTACTCTGGATCATTTGAGAAATGATGACAGAAACCATTACATCATGTGATGCGTAACACAGGAAGCGATTTAGCTTTTTTTTTGGCACACATTTAATTTTATTTTTCTTCCTTCTTTCTTTTAATTTCTCTTTTATTTTTTTCTTTGTTTTTGCTCTCAGTTTTTCTTTCTTTTTTGTTCTTTATCTCGTCTCATTATTTTTATTCCTTGTTTCTTTCTTTTCCTGCTTTATTTTTTCTTTCTTTTTCCATTACATTGGGATACATTTTTCCTTCTTTATCAAGTTCATTTTTTCTGTTTCTTTACATTTCCATCCTTATTTTTATTTATTTTTCCTTCTTTATCACTTGTTTTCTTCTTTTATTTCATCTATTTTTCTTTTTTCTCCTTTTATTTTTTTTATATTTTTATCCCACTTTTTCTTCTTTGTTTCCTTACTCTTTCCATCTTTATTATTCTTTCTCTATCACCTTTACCTTTTCTGCTCTTATTTTTCTTGTTTCTTCTTCTTTCTATATTTCTTTCATTTTTTTTTTGCTTCCCTTGCCATTTTCTTTCTTTTTCTCAGTTATTCCTTTCTCTTTTTTGATTTTTTATTCATCCTTTATTTTTCTTCTTTTTCTTTCAAATTCTTTCTTATCTTTATCTGCAGCGTCTTTCTTTCTCTCTTTTTTCATTTTTTTAATATATTTTATTTCATTTCTTCCTTTTTTTTCTTTCTGTTACAATTTTTCTGTATTTTTCCTTTGGAAGATCATTCACAGAGACTCACTGGCACACGATTGAGACATATGGAGGGAGCTGGTCAGATGCTGAGCTGTACAGCAATCATACCACCTCACCCAGTCATGTGGATGATGATTTTTTTTTTTTTTTTTCTTTCATGCTTCTTATCCTATTTCTTTATTCTTTATTTCATTTCCTCTTCTTTACTTTTTGTGTTTTTCTTTTTTTTCTTCTTTTTACTTAATTCTTTTTTTCTATATTTATTTCCTCTTTTTACTTTCATTTTGTTTGATTTTTTCCTGTATTTTTTATTCTTATTTTTTCTTATCATTTCTTCTTTGTCAGATGTTCTTTTTACCTCTTCATTTTTTTTTCTTCTTTCTTCTAAACTCAATTTTCAAGTCAATCTTCCTGCATACACTGTTTGCAAACTGATTTTAAAATAGTGTCTATGCATACATACATATATATATACATACATATATATATATATATATATATATATATATATATATATATTCATGAATTATTCATACAAAAACAAATACAAGGTTAATGATTTAATTGGCGAGAAATCCATAAATGTTTCAAATATATACAAAAACCCCGAATCTGTTTATGAATGAAAAGATCCTTGTTTCTATAAATTCCTGTTCAGACGAAAGCTTGTAAAAATAATAAGAACTCATGCAACAGGAATTTATAGAAACAAGGATCTTTTCATTCATAAACAGATTCGGGGGTTTTGTATATTATTTGAATTGTTCGTGACGATGGATTTCTCGCCAATTAAATCATTAACCTTTGTATTTGTTTTTTGTATGAATAATTCATGAATTTGTAAATTGATTGCACATTTATTGAAATATATATATATATATATATATATATATATATATATTTGTTACCGTCAAAGTGGAAACCCAGGATTCTATCTACTTTTATGTGCTGCAGCACTTCAGGACATAAGCAATCATAAACAGGCATGGCTCTCCAAAATTTCCTATCCCTTGTGGCTCCTAGCAGTTTTTCTTCATTTGCTTGTCATTCTATCATCTATTCACACATGCTTATTAGTTAAGTGGTTCACTGCCTTCCCTTATCTCTCTTATTCTCAATATGCCTTGTGATGTTTAAATTTTCCAAGCCCAATTTCCTCATTATATGTCCAAAGAATTTCAGCTTTATGACTTCATCGTTGCTTACTTATTCCATTCAGGGAATTCTCAGTATCCTTCTGTAAAACCACATTTCTGTTGCCTCCAGTTTTCTCTTCATCTGTTGGAAAATTGTCCAGCATTCACTGCCATTGTTATATACCGTACCTATGAAAACTAATGAGTATGTCAGAATCCTCATAAATATGTTGAACACTATTGTAAGTGGGGGTAATATGCTAATTAGTCCAACATGAGTAGTGGTTTACCTACTTCATGCTGCTGGTGAGTATTGTATTTTGTTGATGTTATAAAGATTACAATTTCATTTCCAACCTGTTTTGGTTATTCCTCACTCAGTAACCTTTTCAAGGTTACAAAACACGTAACTCAAAAAGAAAATAATGGTATAATCAAGATGTTAAGATTCCACACCACTTCAAATAAAAGGTTGGGAAGGAAACCCCTATCAATACTGGAAAGAGTGATAGCAGCTATTAGATTTGAGAAATTTATTTTTATGAAAAATTGTTTTAAAAGAAAAATTTTATAAATTTCAACCAAAAGTAGTACTGGCTGTTTGATCAATGAATATGAAATGTTTTATTGTAGGGAAACAGTTAATATTACCATTAATATATGGGAGCTATTAACAAGCAAAAAAGAAAAATAATGGCAGTGAAGGGCAAGCTTGACAACAAGGTTTCTTTCTAGGTTACAACAGATAGATAATGAAGGGAGTGTTGTCAGTAGATAATGAAGAGACTGAGTGTGATATACCATACCTATGAACACTAATGGGTATGTCCCAATCCTCATAAATATGTTGGACACTATAGTAGTGATTTTCCAAGCATAGCTTAGATGTGGCACAAGGCCAAAAGTATGGAGTACCCAGTGAGGAGCAAACTCAATATTCAGTCATAATTTTTCTAGCAAGACAAGCTTGCTAACCATTACACCGCCTTGAGGTGCCCTGTTGGACACTATAGTAAGTAGGGATAATATGCTGTTTAAGTAGTCCACCACTAGCAGTGGTTTACCTGCTTCACACCTCTGGCAAGTATTGTATTTTGTTGATGTTATAAAGATTATCATTTTCATTTCCAACCTCTGTTTTGGTTATTCCTCATTCAGTAACCTTTTCTAGGTTACAACAGCCATATAAGAGGATGGATATCACATAACAATCCAGCACTCTTTTCTTTGTTTCTAATGAAATCTTTAAGTTTCTTGGCACTTTGCTTAGCCTTCGGAATGCACCTTTCACTTGTCCAATGCATGTCTGGACTTTGGTGTCACATTTTCAATTCTCTATTAAAATATTTCCCAGATATTTAAATCTCAGTACTTGTTTGATACTAACATCCCCAATTTGTAACATGCATTAGAACATCTAAAACTTCAAAGCAATGTACAAAATACAATCATCTGTGCACATTTATGCTCTAGGTTTTTTTTTGCTTTTTAAAATTTGATGTCTTTTTAGGATTTAGGTAGTCATGGCTGTCCACAGTTTCCTTTTCTTTATGATCAGCCATGACTTCTTTGCAAAGACAGTGGAGGGGTCTCCCATTGCCTTCTGCATGTTTTTTTTTTATATTCAAATTTGCCCTCCTAAACTGACTTCCATCCAAGAATCATGAGTCCTATCTAGCCTGCTATTTAACCTATTATGGAGTCCTATCTAGCCTACGGAGTTTGTTTCAGCAACATGTAAAGCTACCAAACTGCTGCAAAGAACATACTTCATTATGATTGGTTGATTTCTGTTTGTTGTCAAACATTTATTCCTTCTGCACATGTGTGTTCTCATTGACTGTTCACATTTTTTACCATTTTTATTCAGTATCATTCAAGGACCAAAGCATGCGGAAGAATTTCCTTACAGATGAAGAGAATCAATAGGGCAGAGATATATTTCTGCAGACGGATACCAAGAATACCATAGACTTAACAGGTGAGAAATGAAGAAGTTCTAAAGAAATTTGGAGCTTGAAAGACTCTTATACATGAAAACAAATATCACTGTTTGAAAAAAAGTTATCTACTCAAACATGTATCTCTACTAAAATAATGTTTATAGTAATAAAACTATTGTGGGATTAAAATACATTTTATATATATATATATATATATATATATATATATATTAAAAAAAAAGAGTTCATATGTGCTTCTTGTAATATTTAAAATAGATAGTTTGGTTAATAAAACAAGGGAAAATGAAAGGATACCAATGTGATCAGTGTGAAGAACATTTATTATATATTACTTATTAACCACAAGACAGAAATGAAGCATGGAGATTAGTGTTATTAGTCCTGAATTTTTGGGCATGCCTGTGTCATCAGTGGTGCGAGAAATAAACAGAAAAATGGGGAAGACTCATCAACTGTGGTTCCTGTGGCTGACATGAATTCATTGTAGATGGTATTATTAGTAAAAATCCGATCCCTGCTTGATTCCTCATGTGCAAAACTTTTTTTGAAAAGAATTTTCCCCACCCCAAATCTTACAAGCTTCTTCCCCTTTTTGTTCAAAATCACACTCCCCTACCTTTCACAATGATAAAGACAAAACAGACTAATACATTCACCCTGATCATTTTCAAAAAAGTTTTGCACGTGAGGAATCAAGCAGGGATCGGATGGAATGATTATTCTGGATTTTATTTTGTTGTTATGGTGAGAATAGAAATTTATGAAATCCATTTTATTATTTGATTTGTGATGGGCACTGAGTTTCAGGCCATTGTCATTATGGTGTAACCTTTCCTAGATATCCTCTTATTAATTTTTCCCACTTTGTCATAGATTTTCCTAAAATTGATCTTATATATATATGGTTTGTTATTAACTGCAGTTTCAGTCATCCGCTGGGTGTCTTGGAATGTATCCTTGAGAGATAAGGAAGAAATTCTGCATTCATCATCTCATGACATTCTACTAGATATGGCTTAGCCAAATAAATTTCCTTTCAGCATATACTGAATGGTATGAAAGCAAAGATTTGATCCAATTACACTAACCACCAAGTAATTTTTACTCTAGTACACAGTTGTTATAGTTGTAATATATATGTAAATAAATAAAACTAAGGTACAAAACAGAGCATTCTCTTTTCTTTCATATCACTGACACTCAGACAACCACTCATATTTATCCTGGGCTACATTGGCAGCCATATTTAAATGGTATTCTCAACATATCATTGACTGACTTTTCTAAAAATGTATTTTCAATGCAGATGAGATGGCGAAGCAAGACACCCTCTAAAAAAAGCGGAATCAATGAGCTCAGAAGAAAATAATTATTTCATCGACCAGGATACAAGCAGCACGCAAGTTATTCAGTTCATAATATTTGAAGTATTGTTATATTTTCTTTTTATTACTTGTGATAATTTTTTTTATTATACTTTGCCAAACAGAGGTCTCTACTACACAAAAGGGAACCTGTGAGTGTGTTGCATTTTAGCAGAAAACATGCTTGCAATATTTGATTAACAAACAGCTGAGGTGTTAGTGAAGAGATTTTGAATTTCTTAGTTGTTATTAATTTTTAACAGGTATTTCTTCATCTGGTTACTGTCGCTTTTACATCTGGTCATAATAGTGTTCTATGCAATATCTAAACTCTGTGATGGCAGTGAATACTGGACAATGTCTTCACAGATAAAGTAAATTCAAGTGATTGAAATGTGGTTTTATTTACATGAGTGTCATGACCCAAGCATAGGAACAATGAGGAAGTTTCAAGGAAAATAGGAACGTAATAGACACTTAACTAACACTTGATTAACAAACAAAAGATTTTAGTGGACATTTTTAAAATTTCTTAGACGAATCATTGTTACTTATCAAGTAGTAACAGTTTTCTACATAACATCTAAACTTAGATATAACAGTGAAAGTTGCACAATCTCTCCACATAAGAATTGATTGATTATGGCTTATCAACACTTTCTGAGGTATTTAAAGAACAATTCCTTTTTTGCAATTGAATATTACATTAACAATTTTTTGGAGGTAACAATGATTTTTCCAGATACAAGTTCTACTTTTTAACCCATAACTGAGGGAGGAGATGGATTCATACCTTTCCTAAAGGTATTTGCATGTAAGTGAATGTGATAAACATAACTGGTCCACAGATGAATATATTTGAACTAACAGAGATATGATTCTACCAATAGATGCAGAGAATACCATAGACTGAACATGTGAGCAACAAGGAAGTTTTAAGAAATTAAAAGGATATATGCTTTAAATCAGAAATAGACATAAT